GAGAGAGAGAGAGAGAGAGAGAGAGAGAGAGAGAGAGAGAGAGAGAGAGAGGCCAAGAAGGATTTCGGGTGTCCCACTCTCCTCTCTCTTATTCTCCTGAAATGGAATCTCTCGCTGGACCCTAAGCTAAGCCGATAGGTAGCTCACAAGCCCCGGGGGGAGCTTCTCTGAGGTCTAACCTCAACTTCTGCTTTCCACCTCTCTGTGGTCCTTGCTCTGTTGACCTCTCATTTGCTGCCAGCATCTCACCTTTGTCCTTCCCACTGTGGTCTAACCTCAGCTTCTATGGAACCTCAGATAGCCTCTAATGTCCTTTGTCATTTTGCACCATCTGTCTCTTCCGCCAGTTCCTTTTGCATCCCTCTCTCTCTGTTTATTTGTTTATGTGCATGGTACTTGATGTCAAACCCACGGTGTTGTGGATCTGGGAGATTGAGTCATGCTGTGTAGCCAAGGTTAGTCCAAAACTCACAGCTGCTCTAACACTAGGCCAAGCGCTTCTGCTGATTTCCAATCTCAGCTCCCTCTACTTAGGTCTAAGCTTTGCCCCTTCCACAGGAAATTAATCCAAGCCCCTCCGCCATGTCTGGCCTCCACTCCCATCGGGGAGACCCTCTCTCAGTCAACACCCTGTAGTCTCCTCTCTGCCCTCCTGCTGTGGCTGAGCCTCTGGCCTCTCAGTGTGGTCTGGTGTGTACCCCTCTTCTGTCACCACTTACCCTCCTTCTTTTGTTCCCACAGTACAGCCTGATCCAGGCCTCTGAGCTGGTCTTGACCCGGCTTCGTCGTCAAGTGGAGCAGAGGAAACATCAGCAGGGCCTTGGAGACAAAGTGGCTCCCAGGCCTAAGGAGCCCGTAGCCTCCTGAGCACTCCCCCTTCTTGGGCCTGGGCATCTGATGTCTGTTACTGATGCAGGGGAAGCATCTCAGAAAAGGACTGCTTCCCTGAGACTGCCCCGGGGCATGCTGGGAGTCCCTGAGCCACTCTGCTGTGTGTGTAACCCTAGCTGATTACCCCTCTCTGAGCTATTTGTAGAGGGACGTTCTCAGCAACCCCTGCATTCCCATCAGGATTTGGTTCCCTAGTGACTGTTCATACATGCAGAGCAACAAAGCTGCCCTAGCTTCCTCATTTCCTTTGTCCAGCAAGCATCTATTGAGTACTTACTGTATGCCAAGTTCTGCTGAATTCACTCCCAAAGAACTGAGGAGGGGAACTCTACAGAGAGAGTCCAAGATTAGACCCAGAGGAATGGAGGGGGTAGTGTGGTTTGCAGTTTTGAGAGCTATGGAGCCTTTCTCTGCACTGGTGAAGTGAACTCGGGAAGTATAACGCCAGACAAATGCCACTGAGGCCACCCTGAGCAGAGGCTTCTGGGTTCATTTTCTCCACTAGGAAGAATCAGGAACCCCAGATGTAACATCGACGGTGAAGGGGACGTGAGAACTCAGACCAGGAAGGGTCCGTATCTCCAGTACGCAGTAAGGGGTCTGCAGACTCCCTCAGCCCAGAGATAGAAGTGATCGTGTTACTGCTCTAATTGGGATGGGGTCTCAAAAGAGAAGTGATTAGACTCGGCAAGAGCTAAGGCTAGCTTCTAGCAGAATAGAATTGAGCGTAGACTGTGGTGGGGAGTGTCAAAGTTAGACCAGTGTAGACAGAGATACCATACTGCGGTGGGTATTGGGTACATCTCAGCTAAACAACCCAGGCGAGAAGGGCAGTTATCACCCAAAGGTTCCATCAGAGTCTCCACCCCAGGGCTCAAAGGAAGGTAGCTCAGCAGGATTGTTGCCTCCCCAACCCCAGACCAGGAATAGAATTGGAGTCAGTGGGATTGGTGAGTTTCAGAGCAAATGAGGCTGAGGGTGGGGCTTGAGTGTGACGCCTGCTTCCTCAAAAGCACATGTGTTTGTGGTGTTGGTTAGGTACCAGTCGCTCCATCAGGAAGTCCACCTGTAAATCTGATTCACACACACACACAAGCACACACACACAAGCACACACACACATACACACACTGCAAAGGCGCAGCCTCCAGGTCTTAGAAGACCAGATACAGACTTCCCAGGCTCCAAGCTCTAGAAGCCAGGCCCAGGCGTGGGAAGCTGCAGGGAGCTGGAACTTCCCCCTCCTGGCAGCAGGCCCAAGAGTGTCCCGCCAGAGCTGGCAGTAGGCACAGGCTCCTCCTGGCAGGGGCAGCCTTCTTTCCCTGTTGCACTGTTTTGTGCCCAGCATCCAGCACCTGCCACCTTTCCTGTGAAGGGAGGGAGCCCAGAGAGGGATTGTGAGGGCATATGATGCATGCGTTCTGATGTGTGTGTGTGTGTGTGTGTGTGTGTGTATGCACTTGCGGGTGTGTGTGTTTGCACGAGTGCAACTTGTTTTGTTCAACAACCTGTAGGCTTGGGAATTTGTCTTCTGAATCCTAGGACACTTGACTCAGGACTTCGCACTTTGACAGAGAAGTTGAGACAGGGTCTCATGTAGCTCAGACTGCCCTCTAGCAAAGGGTGACATTCAACCCCTGATCCTCCCACCACTGCCTCTTGATGGCTGAAATTGCAGGCATGCACCACCATGCCTAGTTTTTACAGTACTGAGGGCAGAACCCAGGGCTTGGTGCGTGTTAGGAAAGCATTCCACCAACTGATCCACATCTTCAACCCCCACCCACAAATTGTTTTCTTTTAGCTAGGTCTTGCTATGAGGATGGCTTGAAACACAATCATCCTCCTGCCTCAGCCTCCTGAGTGCTGGGATCAGAGATATGTTTCATCACACTGGGTAGTCTTGATCCTTCCTTGTCCTCAGCCCAGAGGCAGTGTTTTAAGGATACAGAATCTGGAACCACACTCTTAATACCTGCTGCCTCAGTTTCCCCACCTTTGAAATGTTGAAATGGAGCTAGTGTTTACCTCTGAGGGTTGTGACAGTGTTTGGCGGTGTAGAGGCCTTGGGAGTGGTTCTCATGGTACCTGAGCACTCTGTGGCAGTTCTCTGCCTTCATTGAGGTACCCTGAGCAGACTGAGCCTGCGAACTTGGAAGAGCTGCCGCCCAACATTCCTGCCCCCCTTCTCCCAGGTCTGCCAGCCTGTGGCTATTTGTAGCGATGACTGCATCTCTGGGCCCTTGTATGGACGAGATGCTGCCCATGTGTGATGGGGGGGGCGGGGAACAGGGTTGACACAGGTGCACGCACTTGAGCCCTCCGTCGCTGTCCTTGGCTTCTAGTGCTGAACCCCGATACTGGGGCAACCTGCAGCCCCACTGTCAGGCCTCTCCCCCGCCCCCTGGCTCCCTTGGCCACGCCCCTTCCCGGGCTCTTCCCTCTTGCTCTCTTGCAAGGCCTCCTCCCAGCTCTGTGGCTCCGCCCCTAGCTCCTATAGCCACGCCTCATTCCAGTGGCTCCTCCCTCAGCAGTTTCCCTAACTGGAGCTCCGCCCCTCCCCCTCCCATAAGCCCTGCCCTCCACTGGCTCCTCCCTCTTTCTCCGGCCTCTCTTCTTCTGGTGGTCCTTTCCCCAACTCCCCTGTGCCCACCCTCTCTCCTCCTTCAGCTCCTCCCTCCTCCAGTCTGTCCCGGTCCTCAAACCCATAGCTACCCTGTCCCCACCTCATCCTTCCTTAATCTCCTCCCTTCCACATCCTGGTGGTCCTTTCCCCTGTTCACTTGTCCCATCCCCTACCCTCAGTGGCTTCTTCCTCCTTCAATCTAGTCCCTCTTCTCCACTGATTCCCCCCGCCCCATTTCCTCTGTCCCCGCCCCCCCACCTCCTCCCTCCGCCCCCTAGCTCCTCTGTCCCCGCCCCCTCCCCTACCTCTTCTGTCTAGTCCCCCTTCCCGGGGCTCCTCCCTCCGCCCCCTAGCTCCTCTGTCCCCGCCCCCTTCCCTGGGCTCCGCCCTCCTCCCGGCCCCTCCCCGGTTCCCCTCTTCGCATCCCCTCTCCTCCCTCCTCCCTGCTCTCCCTCAGTCCCCGGCTCCTCTTCCTCTTTCTCCCTCTCTTTCTCGGGTGGAGGCGCCCACCGCGGCGGCCCAGCGGGGACCGGCCCGGCCGCACGACAGGTAAGAGCTCAACGCGGCCGCCCGGAGCCCCGGGGCTGCGGGAACCCTGGCTGCGCCGCGTCTTTAAGTGCAGGGGCTTCCTGAGCCCTGGCTCCGAGTCCTAGCTGCCCAGCTTTCACCGTGCGCCATGTGTATGGTGTGTGTGTCTGTCTGTCTGTCCGTTTCTGAGCACCTGGGTCTCTGTCTCTCCCTATTTCTCCCTCTGCCTGCAGCCAATTCACACCCACACACCTCTGTCTCCGCCCCTGATGCACGGGGACCTGGAGGAGGCTGATCCCCCGCAGTGTGGACTCCCCCGAAGGCCTGGAGTGCCCCCAAATCCTCCTCACCCCTTCTTAGCTCAGGTCTCCCCATCCTCCCAATCCTGACATTCTGAGGCTGGTCCTGCTTACAGCCTAACCAGTCCTTCTAAAGTCTGACTCCCATACCTCTCACTGTTTGTCCATTCATTCTTTGGACAACTCTGAGACACTTTTGTACTGCTGGGCACTGCTCTAAGGTCAGGCTAGACAGGTCTCACTTCCATCCCTCCAGTTTCACAGTTGCGAGGCTGGGTGGGAAAGCAGACCTCCTGGGGGCTCAGAGGGACTCAGCCTGACGCTTCCATTCCTTCATTAAGGTCTCTGGGGAAGGTGGGCGAGGTGCTGGCCAACACCTGGGCCAGAGCTGGGGTGAGCTTTTGCGTGCCCACAAGGTCCCCGCCCTATGTGGCAGGCGTGTGGGAACTCCAGATGGCTTAAAAGATCACTGGGTTAGGAGCCCCACTCCTCAACATATTTCTGTTCCACCTCTGACTTGGCCAAGTCCTTTCTCCCCCTCTACCAGCCTCAGTTTACCTGTCTGCAATTTGCAACCCTGTGTATGCTGTGTGGCTAATGGAGGGACAGACGGTGTGTGTGTGTGTGTGTGTTCTGAATTCTGTGTTCCTATTCTGCATTGCACCCCCCGCCCCTGCAGTCAGGATACACCCCAGGTCCTCACTCTGCTGTGGTTGCATTGAGGAGGAATTCTTCCCAGAATCCCCCAGAGGCAGGACAAGCAGGACAGGAGACTCACCACTAACCCAGCTCGCCACCAGCCCACCAGGTTGGGGATACCACTGCCTCCGAGCCCTGAGATGTTACCACCTTCCCCGCCGGCTCCTCCTGGACTCAACCTGATCCTTTTGCCACTGAGTCTACACCCAGATTAGCTTTCAAGGCCCAGAGGAGGAAGGCTGGGGCATAAAGTGTGGCTGTCCAAGCCATAGACAGACAATGTTCAGGCCTCTTGTCCATGAGTTTCACAAATATTTATCTAGTGCTTTCTCTCCTGGGTCCCTCTTCCAAGACCCAGAGAGAGAGGAGGGAAATCTGGATGACAGCAAAAGGGATTGAATAGACTGGATGACCCCGCCCCTGGCAGGCAAACACTAGTCCACTGACCCTCGTCTTCCTGGATGACTTCCCAGGTTTTTCACCCTCCCCAAAAGCAGCAGTTAGATGTGACTAGATGGATTCTTGACTTTCTGAGTCTTCCCTTTTTCCCAAAAGCCAAAGAGGGAGGAGGGAGGAGCAAAGGGGAGTCTGCTTGGGATCCTGGTGGGTTCATAATTACGCCTGAGAGTTTGCTAATTAGGGGCTGCTAATTAAATATATCATTAGGGGCTTTGCCTGGGGGCCTAACTGTGTGGTGGCCCTTTAAAAGAGTCACCCCTCCCCCGCGCAGCACACACACACACACACACACACACACACACACACACATGCACACCGCTCACTCCTTTTCGGGAAGTTCTGCCAACATGCTGCCTCCCTCCCCCAGAGAAGCCTGCTCCTGGTCTGTGGGTGTGAGCTGAGGGCAGGCTGTGGGTTAGACTTCCAGAGGAACTTTTCAGACTGCCACAGAAGGTGGAAATTCTTGGACACTTGAGCCTGGAGGAACCCCAAGCTGCTGGCTTAGGTGACAGCTCCTCTGGCCCGCCTTTTCTCTATAATAGGCAACTGTGTTACCATAGCAACATGAGGGCGGGCCTGAGAGCTCAGACCTTGGGCACCCTTCTGGGGAGA